TCCACTGGAAAAAGACAAAGATACTCACTTTTTTTCACTCTTATTTAACATAGTACTGTATGTCCTACATAGAGTAATCAGACAACAGAAAGAAATAAAATATATTCAAATTGGAGAAGAAGTCAAAGTCAAATGATCATACTACTCAAAGAAATCTACAATTTCGGTGAAATCCCCATCAAAATACCAAAGACATTCTTTACAGAAATATTCTAAAAATCCTAACATTTGTATGAAACACAAAAGACACTGAATAACCAAAACTATATTGTGCAAAATGAACTAAAGACTCCACCAACAAACCCTTAGAACTGATCAATGAATTCAGTAAAACAATAGGTTACAAAAATCAACATACAAAACAAGCAGAATTTCTATACACTAATATTAAACTAACTGAAAAAGGAAATCAAAATTGTAATCTCATTCAAAATAACTACAAAAAATACCTTCTAGTAAATTTAACTAAGAGTTTAAAGGCCTCTTCAACAAAAGCTACAAAATGCTGATAGAAATTAAAGGGACACAACCAGAAAGACACCCAAATGCTCATGGATCAGAAGAGTTGATACTGTTCAAATGATCATACTACTCAAAGAAATCTACAATTTTGGTGAAATCTCCATTAAAATACCAAGGACATGCTTCACAGAAATATTTTTAAAATCCTAACATTTGTATGAAACACAAAAGACACTGAATAGCCAAAACTATATTGTTCAAAATGAACAAAACTGGAGGCATCACACTATCTGACTTCAAAATGTACTACAAAGCTGTAGTAACTAAAACAATGTGAGAGTACTATAAAAAACAGACACATGGACCAAAGAAAATGTGTAGAACCTAGAAATAAATCCATGTATTCACAGCTAACTGATTTTCCACAGAATTGCCAAGAACATACATTGGGGGAAGGACACCTCTTTAGTAAGTGATGCTGGGAAAACTGGATATCCATATGCATTAGAATGAAACTAGACCTTTATCTCTCAGTATATACAAAAATCAGCTTGAAATGGATTTAAGATGTGATCACAGGACCTGAAACTAAAGCTATCAGATGAAAACATGAGAGAAATGCTTTAGGACATTAATTTAGGCAAAAATTTATGACTAAAATTTCAAAGGCACAGGCAACAGAAGGAAAGAAAATATTTGCAAAATATTCATCTGCCAAGGGACTAATATCTATAATATACAAGAAACTCAAATGACATAACAGCAAAAAACAAAACAAAACAATATTTGGACAGTGGTTTTGAATAGACATTTCTGGGGGGAGGGAAATACATTAAAATGGCCAATGGACATATTTTTAAAAGATCAGCATCACTAATCTTTAGGGAAATGAAAATCAAAACCACAATTAGATATTATCTCACTGCAGTGGAATGGCTCACATTAAAAAGATAAAAAATAACAAATGCTAGTGAGGATGTGGAGAAAAGGGAATTCAAACACTGTTGGTAGGAAGGTAAATTAGTACAGTCATTATGAAAAACAGTATGGACGTTTCTCAAAAAACTAAAAATAGAAGTATCATAGGATTCAGCAATCTCATTGAGTTTATTCAAAGGAAAAAAATCAGCATATGAAAACAGTACTTGCACCACCATGTTTATGGCAGCACTATTTACAATAGTCAGGGGATAGAATCAATCTAAGTATCAATCAACAAGTGAATGGATAAAAAATATAGTGTATACACATAATGGGCTACTATTTAAGTGTGAAAGAAAAGTCTGACATTTGCAGCAGCAGGATGGAACTGGAGGTCATTACATAAAGTGAAATAAGCTAGGCACAGAATGACAAATACCACGTATTCTCTGTATGGAAGTTAACAATGTTGATCTTATGGAGGTAGAGAGTAACATGATGCTTACAAGAGGCTGAGCTGAGGGGATGCATAGAGGGTGGTTATGAGAACAGCATATGGTTGGATAGAAGGAGTAGGGTCTGGTGTTTGATAGCACAGTAGGATGACATTACTCAGGAATAATTTATTTTATATTTCAAAATAGCTAGAAGAGACTATTTGAAATGTTCCCAACACAAAGAAGTGATAAATGTTTGAGGTGATGGCCAGATTTGATCATTACACATTGTATGAGTGGATGATAATAGCATATATACTGCATAAATGTTTAATTACTACATATCAAGAAAAAGAAGATACAAGAAAAATAGCATATAATCATATCAATAGATGGAGAAAAAGCATTTGTTTAAATTCAACCTTCCTTCATGTCCAAAACTTTCAACAAATTAAATATGAATGGTGCGCACCTCAATGTAATAAATGCCATATGTGGTAGATCCACAACCAACATCATACTCAGTACTAAAACTTGAAAGTTTTTCCTCTAAATTCAGAGAGAGGGCAAGTTTGCCTAGTCTCGTGACCTCTATATAAAATGATACTGGAAAGTGTATCAAGTGTAGAAAAATTAGGAGAAAAAAAGAAATAAAGATATCCAAGTAGGAATGAAAGAAGTAAAACTGTTTGTGTTTGCAGATGATGGGCTTTTATATGGAGGGGACACTAGACACTCCACCAAAAACTATTTAGCAATGAAAACAGTATGGTAATGGCCTAGATAGATGCCAGAAATAACTCTATGCTATGGGGTCAGCTAATCTTTGACAAGGACACCAAAAATACACAATGGGAAAAAATGATCTCTTCAGTAAATGATGTTGGAAATAGTGAGTTTTATGCAAAAGGTTGAAATTGGACTCTTAGTTACATCAAGATAAACTCAAAATGGATTAAGGTATTAAATGTAAGCAATGAAATCATAAAACTCTTAGAAGAAAATGGAAAAATCTCCTTGCGTTTGGTCTTGGCAATTATTTTATGGATATGATGCCAAAAGCCCATGCTCCAATAATCGCAAAAACTGAACAATTGGTACTGTTTTAAGCTATAAAGCTTCTCTCTAGCCATGGAAATTATTAGCAGAATGAAGAGACAAGCTATGAATTTGGAGACAATACCACTTATCTGATGGTTAATATAAAAAAAACACCATGAAATTCATATGATTCAATAGCCAATAAACAAACAAATAGTTAAACAATGGGCAAGAGACCTGAATAGACATATTTTTCAGTTAAAACGTACAGATGGCCAGCAGGTATATGAAAATGTGCAGGACGTGTCTCATTATAAGGGGGATGCAAATCAATACATCTGTTAGGGTGATAACTAAAAAAAAAGACGAGATTAGTGTTGGCGAGGGTATGGAGAAAAGGGAATCTTGGGCACTATTGTAATATGTAAGCAAATGTATGTATGCATATATGTAGTATGCATACATGTAATAGTTTGTATATAATATGTACATATGTTGTAGTATGTGTGTAATGTGTATGTAAATTGGAGGCTGGGCACAGTAGCTCATGTCTATAATCCCAGCATTTTGGGAGACCAAGACAAGAGGATTACTTGAGTCCAGTGTAGGCAACATAGTTAAACTTTGTCTCTACAAATATAAAAAAATTAGTTGGGTCTGGTGGCACACACCTGTAGTCCCAGTTACTTGGGAAGTTGAGGTTGAAAGATCATCTGAGCCCAAGAGGTTGAGACTACGGTGACCTGTGACCATGCCACTGTACTCCAACTTGAGCAACAGAGTGAGACATAGACTCAAAAATTAAAAAAAAAAAGACTGTAAATTAGCATAGCATTTATGGAAAAAACAGTAAGAAGATTCCTTAAAAAATTAAATTCCTCTTCTGGGTATATAGCCAATGAAAATGAAATCAGTATCTATCTGAAAGCAATATCTGTGCCCTCATGTTTATTGAAGCATCATTTCCAATAGCAAAGGTATGAAAACAACCTAAGGGTCTGTTCAGAGATGAATAGATAGAGAAAATGTGATATATATCTGCCTATACGTGTATACATTTTTTACATATGTATGACTACTATACAGTTAAAGAAAGAAGGAAATCCTGCCATGTGTAACAATCTGGGTGAACGTAGAAGACATTATATCAGGTGAAGTAAGCCAGACACAGAATGACAAACACTACATGATCACTTATATGTGAAATCTATGAAGGCCAGTCTCATGGAAGCTGAGTAGAATGTGGTTGCCAGGGTCTGGGGAGATGTTGGTCAAAGGGTATAAGCATTTAATCATAAGATGATTAAGTTCTGGGACTCTAATGTACAGCATGGTGACAATAGATTATAGTTCATTCTACTTTATTGTAGATTATTTACCTGAAATTTGCTGAAAGCTGATGTAAAGGGTCCTCACAACATGCATGCGCACACACATATATATCACACACACACACACACACTAATAACCCTGTGCAGTAATGGATGTGTTAATTCGATTGTGGTCATCATCTCACAATGTACATGTATATCTAATAACCACATTGTATTCCTTGAATATTTGTAATTTCTATTGTCAATTACACCTCAATAAAAAAGAACATTTGGAAAATTTACATTGGGAAAAAGAACATTTGGAAAATTTACTGTCAATATTTCTTCAAATATTGTCCCTTCTTTTTCTGTAAGTCTGTTATGTATATTTTGGTATGATTGATAGTGTTCAACAGGTCTCTGAAGTTCTGTTTATTTTCCTTACTTTTTCTATTCCTTATACTAGATAATTTAAATCTACAAATATTAAAGATCACTGATTATATTTCTGCCTGCTCATATCTGCTGTTGAGCCCTTTTTGTTGATTTTTTCATTTTTGTTATTGTATATTTCAAGTTCAGAATTTTACTTGGTTCTGTGTTACACTTTCTGTATTGTTATTGTTTGCATCAGCTGTTTTTCTCTTCAACAGAGAAGAGACATTAAATGGTGTTAAATGTTTGCCTGTGATTGCTTTTCTGAATAAGCCATTGAAATCCCCTCACCAATCATCCTGTTATTATTTTCTAATGTCTTAATTCTATTTAGTTTATAGTAAAAAAAGATTACATACACATACATATTT